AGAGCCCAATGCCCCTTAGTTAAGGAATATAGCTTAACTCATAATATGAAGCTCCTTATAGTTTGAGGGCTTACTATTATGGACTATTGTGGTTTAAAAGCTATGCTCCTCAGTTAAGGGGTATTGGGCTCCCTGGGCGCAGGAAGGCTACCGCCACTCTGGCCATGGAGACCTGGAAGGTTACAGGTGCTGTGCCACGCAGATTTGAACGCCAGTGCTTGTGGCTCAGGTTTTAGGGTGTAGGGTTTACGATTTAGGGTTTGGGGTTCAGGCGATGCTGATACTAGGGTATTTTAGCTACAAGACAGCCGCAGGTGTACAGCAGGTTCAAAGCATTGTAAGCACCGATTCGAAGTCCCTGTGAGGTGTGGAGATGTTGCGTAGGCGTAGCGTTTTCTTCAAGGATATTCCTGCGTTTTCACGCTTTGCATGTGGCAATTGCTTTGGAACAGTGTAGTAAGAACAATGTCGAGCATGTGTCGCAAGTGCGACAACCCTTAAAACTGCAGTTACAGTTGTTGTTCAGGTTTGTTGCTTGCAACATCACCTACTCATCTTGGAATGATTGGTCTAGACATGCTGGCAGCTAGCATGTGTGCAAACATCGGTACTGACCCCTCTTGACTGGAATACGGGCTGTATGCATTGTTTGAAAGACATGTTTTTTCGTTCCTGTGTTGTGGGCCAGGGAAGTGCGTTCAGCAGCAGCAGCAGCAGCAGCAGCAGCAGCAGCAGCAGCAGCAGCAGCAGCAGCAGCAGCAGCAGCAGCAGCAGCAGCAGCAGCAGCAGCAGCAGCAGCAGCAACCAAATCGAAACTCGCAGACCTGAGGTATGTTTTTGTGTCTGTTCATATGTGTGTATTATATACATGCTCATATGTAGTTATACATATATAATTGCACAGATGTATAATGTACATATGTGTGTGTATATATATATATATATGCATATACACATGCATATGTATGTGCGGATACGCACACGAATAATTAAATATATATACAGATACATATATGTATATAGTTGTCTAGTTATGTATCTATATATGTGCCCATAGATATACGCATGTGCTACATGGATGTCAGCGATTCCTATTCAAGTGGCCGTCGCAAGGAGAGCGCAGTCTTGGCAATGTATCCTTCTCATGGTACCTTAAACTCAGCTTCTTATCTCCACACCCCTAGACCCTAAACCCTAAGGTCAGCTTTAGGACGAGTTTGGGTTTGCGCCGTTACAGCTGGCAACAGCCTCAACCAACCTTGGTGTTCAACCTAACTTAACAGGCAGGTGGAAAAGAGGTGTCAAAAAAAACATCTCTAAACCCCTAAACCCCCAAACCCGTTAAGCCTAAACCCTAAACCCTAAACCCTACACCCTCAACCCCTAAACCCAAAACCCTAAACCCAAAACCCCAAAACCCTCAACTCTCAGAGCAGCCTTCTGCCTGGCTGTGAGAGGCACGAGATCACGGCTCGTGGGAAGAAGCCCGGAGCCCGGTTTGACGCCAACTTCCAGGTTTGGTTTCAGGGTGTATAGGGGTTTGGGGTTTAGGGTTTAGGATCAGGGGGTTTACGGTTTAGGGTTTAGGGGGTTCAAGGTTTCAGGGTTTGGGGTTTAGGGTTTAGAGTTTGGGGTTTAGGGTGTAGGGGTTTAGGTTCAGGGGGTTTCAGGGTTTAGGGGGTTCGAGGTTTTAGGGCTTGGGGTTTAGGGTTTAGAGTTTGGGGTTTAGGGTTTAGGGCTTTGGGGTTTAAGGTTGAGGACTTGGGGTTTTCAGGCTCAATGAACCCCGAGCCTTCCTTCTCGGCATGGGGCTCATCAGTTTCAAGCCCTTGGGCTTCAGCCGATGATCACAACATAGCCTGCCCCAAAGCATAGGGTGGGAACAAATAGTAAGAGTATCCCCTGTTGTAGTCCTTATAGCGTTATACTCTGATAACCCCTTATACTGTTCTCAGTTTTCAGGCCCCTGGGTTGGGGGAGTCGGAGGCTCTGGCACCTTCGAGTGTAGGTACGCAGATGCCACGGGTGCTCTGCTGCGTGGCGTGCCCCTGTCCTCCCAACGCGAAGCCCAAATCATGATACAGCACGACGGAACTGAACTGAAACCCTAAGCCCTACTGTAAATCGTAAGCCCGAGACCCCAAACAAGAAAGCCCCGAACCCTGAAGCCTGCGCCCGGAGTCTCAGGCCCGAAGGCAAAGCACGAAAACCCGGAGCCTCGAAATCTCGAAACCCATACCCCCAATCCAGTCTTTTAGAGCCGTATAGAAGCCGGTACAGCTTTTCTTGGATCCCCCAAACCCCTCACCCGAAGCCCCAAACGCAACGTCATAAACCCTAGACCCTGCAAGCCCAAACCTCTATACGTACCCCGCACCCTATACCCCGAAACCTAATGATTCTATACCCCAAGCCCTAAACCCTAAAACCCTTAGGATTCTATACTCCAAGCCCTAAACAAGAATTCTAGACCCCCCTAAACCCTAAACCCTAAACCCCCGAACCTAGAGATTCTGTACCCCAGACCCGAACCGCTCTGAAGCTCCTCCTACCTTGAGGGTTTAGGGTTTAGGGTTTACGGTTTAGGGTTTAGGGTTTGGGGGGACTTAGTAAGGTAGATCTTTAACTAGAGTTGTAAGTGCCCTACAAGGGATCCTAATTGGGGTTATGATGCTTATGTCTATAAAATAAGTACCTACTAAGTCCCCCGACGCTCCAAGTAAACCCTAAACCCCTACAGCCCTAAACCCTAAACCCTAAACCCCTAAACCCTAAACCCCTAAACCCCTAAACCCCTCAACCCAAAAGTAGAGCCATTCTAAACCCCTAAACCCTAAACGCTAAACCCTCAAAGCACTGAAAACCCAAGTCGCATCCCTTTAAGGATCCCTAAACCCTAAACCCAAACCCCAAACCCCAAACCGAATCCCTTTAAGGATCCCTTTAAGGATCCCTTTAAGGACCCCTAAGGCCCCGACCCTCCAAGCAGAGCCGGGCGCCTCCAAGCAGAGCCGGGCGTGACCCAGGCGATGGCGCCCTCCGGAGCTTTGCTTCGCACGTGCCGGCGAGGCCGCTGGCTCTACTTTGTGGGTTGAGGGTTGAGGGTTTCAGGGTTTAGGGTTCAGGGTTGAGGGTTTAGGGTCTGGGGTTTGGGTTGAGGGTTTAGGGTTTAGGGTTTGGGGTTCAGGGTTGAGGGTTGAGGGTTGAGGGTTTCAGGGTTTAGGGTTTAGGGTTGAGGGTTGAGGGTTTAGGGTTGAGGGTTGAGGGT